GTATAAAACTAACCCCTCTTATTTGTAGTGATTAAAATAAGAGGGTAAGGAGGTTCATCTCCCTCCTTTTCATTAAAATTACTAACCCAAACATAAAAAAGAAGGCATCTCTCTGCACCAAACCCTTCGAGCCAAGTGGCTTCCAGCCACCTTAAAGTGCATCCCTCTCTCCTCTTGGACGGGTTCGAGTCCGCCCCATGACAATATTGTTCAAAAAAAAAAAAAAAGAAGGCATCTCTCCAAAATCTCCTTCCCTTCTCCTCAAACTTCCTCAATCCAAACTAAGGCTTAGTCTTTGTAAGAGGAAAATGGATATGACTAGATGTTTGTATATATTGATTAGTTGCCTAGATTGCAATTGGATAAATATCTGATCTTTGCACCAGTTGCTTCTTTTGTTTTTTCTGCCTTCGTTGTTATGATCTGCCACTCCTCTTCCAATTCCGGCTAAAACTAATTTTTAGCCCCTCACTTTACAAAATTGATAAGTTTTAATCCCTAACCTTATAATATGACACTTTTAGCCATTTACCTTACAAAGTTGGTAAGTTTTAACCCCTCACCTTACAAAATTGGTAGGTTTTAGTCATTCACCTTATATTATGACACTTTTAACCTCTTATCTATACAAATTGAAGAAAATAGTTCTTAGTTAACATCAGGTTATAATGTTCTGTTAGTTCTATTAGCTGACTGTTAATTCTGTTAGCTGACTATTAGTTTTGCTAGTTGACTGTTACTTCTGTTAGTTGACTGTTAGTATCCATTAACATTCTATTGATGGAACTAACAAATAAAATTGAATTTAAATTTTATATTTTCTATAACGAAATGCTAACAGAACTAACAAAATGTTATTATCTGTATTAGGTGAGGGTTATTTTCTTCAATTCGTATAGATGAGGGGCTAAAAATGTCATAACATAAGGTGAGGGGTTAAAACCTATCAACTTTGTAAGGTAATGGGCTAAAACCTACCAACTTTGTAAGTTAAGGAGTTAAAACTTACAAATTTTGTAAGGTAAAGGGTTAAAAGTATTATATTATACGGTGAAGGGGTAAAATCTACCAATTTTGTAAGGTAAATGGCTAAATGTTGGTTTTTGCCTCCAATTCCTGACGGAATCAAAATGTGTGATCTGGGGAGGAAGGATGGAGAGACCAAAAAGGGACTTTCAGTGAGTGATGCCTATTTTGTTCTTCATATGCATGATTTAGAGGAAGGAAAGTTGGAGATTGAAGAGTGAAAAGGATGTAGAAAGGGAAGTTCCTATTTTGTAGAAAGGATGTCCATGGTTCCACTGGTATTAGCCAGCCACTCACCCACAGACAATGCCTTATCCCTTGACAAATCTTCCATATATCTTCATCATAATGCTTGAATTCTCTGCTCAACGATCTGTTCAGGTTCGTGTGGTGATGATACCAGGAAATGATTAGGAAGAACAATTAAGGAAGACCTAGTAGAGAAAAGAAAGATCTTTGATCATATTCTCCAAATTAGCCAAGAAATGGTAAGAGTTTATAGACAACTCAGAAAGATAACAGAGAGAATTCAAGGAAACATCAACGCCATACAAAATAGAGATGAGCATTGAGTATGGATATATCCATTGTTTGTAAGTATACATGATATTATATCTTTTATAAAAAAATTTTGAAATCACTGTCATCCCTTTCCCAGCCAACTCAATTATAGCACGTCATCAACACCAATTGCAGTCTAGATTTGGCAAACATGTTGGATCGGATGGGTTCGGATTGAATCATTTTGGATTTTAAAATTTTCAGATTGAGTAATTTCGACTGTCAGATTAAAAGGATAGGTCCATAACCTACCCACACAGATTTTGGATTGAGTTAGGTGGACTTAACTTTTTAAAAAATCAAAATTAAAATTAAAAATTTTTCATATTTTTTTCTATTTTTCTTTAATGAAGTTTAATAGTAATTAACTATTTAGTTAAATACTCTATTAAACACTAATTTTCATTTCACGATTTAATTTTCATTCCAATCTCGTGAAAAGAAAAGAGAAAGATTACTGATTTTATAGATGGAACTAAAATATATGTCAAATATATAATACTTATATAATATTTACAATTCATAATTTCGTAAAACCATTAACCTTCATTAAAAGAAAAAACATGAAGGATTAGAGTTCAAAAGACAAATCCAATATATATGTTAATATCTAGTGCCTATTTAATATTTATAAGGGTATCATACAAAAAAAATATAATTTTATTCAATATTTAGAAGAGTATTATACAAAAAAAATATAAC